CAAATGAGTATGTACAAGAGACTTCAATTCGCCAAGCATTTAAAGTTGCTTTTGCAGGTTCAACAAGAGACTGTAATTAATGCCCTGGGTTCCTCTTCTCTTCCCCTTCTAAAGCCTACATATATCACTCTCATCCAAACAAAATATCGCTCTTGAAAGTCTACTGTATTAAGGCCCCCCTGAGCAAAGCTCTTGGTTGCAGATCATTGGCAGGTCAGGAAGCAGAGAGACAGAGCTAAAACCCTCTTAAGGACCACATGAAATAGGCCCAGGGAAGGTCAAACAAACCACCCAATGTTACACAGCTACAAAATGATACAACACTCTCCCTTTATGTCATCAGTCTCAGTTGTAAAGAAGCAAACAGGCAGAGAGATATTGGCTAGTATTTTATATTGACGTTGCTCTGGTTTGTGTGAATTGTCCCACAGGGTCATCTTACTTCACAAACAGTGGTGCTGTTTTGTGAGGTTGTGGTACCTTTGGGATGGGAAGTGTAACTACTGGAGAGATAGGTCATTGGAGTTGCCTTTGAAGGTTACAGATCGGTCCCACGTTTAGCTCTGTCTCTCTGCTTCCTGGCAGCCAAGATATGAAAAGCTGTGCCCCTGCCCAACACTGACTCACAGCCTGCGCTCTGCCAGCTGCCTTGCCTTCCCTGTGATAGATGGATAGCCCCTGAAAGAGTAATTCCAACTACACCCTCCCTGCCATAGGCTCTTTCTGAGAGGTAAGCCAGGACAGTCATAAGAAAGCACTTTGAGAATCTCCAAGGTAAACTGAGCCTCAGTTCCGGTCAGGTGACAACAGTTTACCTAAGTGCAACCTATGCTGGGCTTTTTCTACGTGGCCACCAGCCAGATACCGAAGGACTAGTCTGCCTTACAGCACCTGCCGTCTATCACTGTGTGAGACTCAGCCTCACAACCACAACACTCAGGGACAGCCAAAGCTCTGCTGACTGAGGTCACTTGTCCAAGGCCACCCAGGCTGCCCAGGTGAAGATTCTTCCTGGTTTGTAAGATGAAAACAACACAGAAAAAAACGTAAGAGAACGTGCTGGTGTCAGGCATGGGGCTGAACAGAAGGGAGCGTTTGGGTAGAGGAGAAGCGTTGCTCACCTGACTCCATGCGCCAGCCTTCCATCTGGGGCACCGTCCTCCTCGGCACCTTCTGTGCCCATGCGGCTTAGTAAGGTGCTTACAGTAATCACTCTCTAAATGGCTTCCATCTTTTGCCAAGCAGTAAACATTTCGTTGTTTATGCCCTCGACCACAAGAGACAGAACACTGCAATATAAAGCAATGGCAAGGTTGTTGTTGTTTTTTAATCACAGTGACTTTGATTTAAAAAAAAAAAAGCCCCAAAAGTGTAATGTGACGATATGATCATGTCTATGAGAGTTATCATTACCTCCTTCTTTCCAGAGTTATCTGGAGAATAATTCAAAGCCTTACAGGGAAGAAAGATAGCAACGGGAAAAAAACCCAAAAAACCTTATGCATTACAGTAGCAACAGCCCTGTGTGGCATGTTGGTGAACATGGTGGCGTGGGAGGATCGTAACAATTTAACCTGAAAACCTCATGATCTGAAATTACTATGTTCTTTTTTTTTTTCCTGAGGGAAATCCCACTACAGAACACTAAAACACACTTTCGGTAAGATGTCTCCTGATTCAAATCGGTATAAAGTGCATTTCCAACATGACTGTGTTCAATTTTTTAAAGATCGAATTTAAGGAAACCCTACAGCTATTTCTTTAAGGGAAAAAAACTCTCATTTCCCCAGCCCTTTGGAAAGAGGTGAAAAAGGCAGAAAAAAAAAAAAAACCTTAAAGGTTCACTGGTGGGTAAGTCGGTGCCAACTTCAGGAGGGAGGCATTACCTTTCAACTTTGATCTCTGGGTTCACTCAGCTGTTTTAAATGTGACCTTGTCTGACCACATCTAAGAAACTTGACTTTGATTTCAGATTAGGTTTCTCAGAAAGGTTTAGGAATCAAAGTGCCCACGGAGTCTGGACAAGAATCTGATGTGACAGCTTCGCGTAGAACAGGCAAGAGGCTGGCCCCAGTGGATGCACTGAGACTCAACATCCAAGGCCTCATTAGCAATTACAAAGTCCTTACTACAGCCACCCTAAACTGGTGGCTCAGGTCTTTAAAGACAATTTATTTCCCAATATAAATTTACCTAAATTACTCCCCTTGTTTTCTAGAGGGGGGTAAATTTAAGAAAGAAGACTAAAATGTAAAGTCTCAATGAAAACAGACTTCCCATTAGATTTTTCTTGACTTCATGTTTCTTATTTCCCCCAATAACTTTGTTATATTTTGGCTTAAGTTACCAGAGTGCCCTTTGATGCCCTAATAGACTAACAACTCCATGTCAAACAAGGAGCCTAATACTAATTTTATCATTATTACCAGACATCCTCAAAGTTATAGCATTTATACATGTGTCAAACATGTTTTTCTGTTAAAAACAAACCATTATAAGAGTTTCAGTTGAACTGGCAGAGAAATTTAAAATATGTATATTAACACATTTGGCTTTACCTTTTTACTTTAAGATGTGAAATATTCATGAATATATGATTTGGAGTACCTATTTTGGAAATTGTCATATTTTACAATTTGGAAAGAGCGAGCGGAAGGTCTGTATCCAAACAAAGCCTGTGACAGTTAACCTACAGAGTTTGGATTCATGTAGAACACTGAGGATTCTTTTCAAAGGCTTCTGTGACAAGGTTCTTAGGACTTCAGTCTCAGAGAATGGCTAAAGACTTGCACAAGGATACTGCCTATTGTAAGTCACCAGTCCATAAGTTTTAAAGGGTTACTTCAACAAGAAAAGATGGGGTCATAATTACAATTTGGGATAAGTTCATTTGCTTAATGAACAAAACATCTATTTTGTATATACCATGTGTTAGAAATTATAGAACACACTGGAGATACCAGGAGAACAAAATTGACATAGTCCTTGACCTCAGGGAGCTCATAGACAAGTACTAGAAATTAACGTTGATTGAGAGATGACAAATGTAGGTACTGTATATGAATATTCATGAGCTGACTTCTAAGAAACACATAAGCTCAAGTGATTAGAGAAAGGCTCCCTGTGGTCTTCCACCGGGCTACACCAGCCGAGCTGCTGGGTCATAAAAATGAGATTGAATTATATTCGGCCCGTGATGGGAAATCTCTGAGGAGCCTTAATTCAGGGGAAGGAATTATCTAATTTTTATTTCAAAACTTCTCCGTTGATTACCGAGTCAAGTACTAGATGTGAAGACAGGGTGAGTGGAAATGAGGGCACCATGAAAGAAGTCAGCCTATTTGTGCTAGTGAGAGGTGGCGGCAGCTTGGAGAAGTGTACGAAAGGCTTGGGTGGAGAACCATGGTAGGTTAAGGCTGCATTTTCTTTTTTTAAGTAGGAAGAAGGTACCTTATGGGTCAGTTGTAGGGAAATGGGCAAATGTGACATTCAGATTTCTGGTTTGGGCAGCTGAACCGATGGTGACAACATTTGCTACTGCTTTAAGAGATGGTACACACCGGAGCAAAGCACTAAGAGGCGAGAGGGTTTTACCTGTAGGAAGCGGGTCTGAGAGAAAGAACAGGGAACAATGCTTGATTAGAGTAAAAAACTAGGTTTTTTCTTTCTTTCTTTTTTTTTTTTTTTGGCTCATCAAATAGACAGTGAACGTAGAACAAATATATCCTGAGGAATAGTCCTTTCAGTATGCAAGCTGTCCAAAGAAGCCAGCCCTCCATGGGAAGTAGGAAAAGGGAATCATGAGACAGTTAATAAAGTGCCAGCGTCATTAGAAGACACAGTCTAAAAGTAGGCAATGATCTCCAGAGTCAGAATTAGAAAAGACTCGATGTTCTCACATTCACCATGTGTCAGCCACTGCCCTAAGATGCTATTAGCCCTAAGACTTGTACAGGTTAGCCATCCCAACTTCCCAACACAGTTCAATAAAAGAGATAGGTACTGTTCCCAGAGCCAAATCAAGTGGTATTTGCACAACAGTACAAGCACGATGCTTTGGATACAGTGTCACAATGCTGTTCCAGTACAAGTAAATATATTTCTGATGGGAAAAAAAATAACAGTGCAATGAAAAAAATAAGTGATCAAGAGTCTTGCTGTCAATAACTAATTCGAGGCAGGCCACCAATCCACTAGCATCTATTGCCAACGAGCCAGTGATGAACGATCCAAGTGTAATGCCTTTGATACATAGATTAGCTGCCCTCTGCCCATTTTTATGTGCATTTTCTTTGCAGGGGACTTGAATGCAAATGGCAAGAGGAAAGAAGAATGCAAGACTTAGGCATGATTCACCACACATGTTATTTGCCCGGAATTATTAAGATCTCAAAGTGATTAGGAAACCCTCAAGGTGTCAACTGACAGCAAATGCTCTCCATTTAAGGTTTACTAAATTACCAAGGAAGAAAAGCAGCTGTTCATAGAAATACTCAAACCTAACAGGCTTATTAATGGGTCTATTATGACTTCATAAAGGAGCCCCTCCTGTGAGAGTCAAATAAATACAGGTTCTAGCTCTGGCATTCCAGGGGAAAATTCCATCGGATCATTCCCAGTCTTCTCCCAGGCAAAGATGACATTTACATCAACCTGCGTCACCCAGACATAGCCATTATATTTAGTACGTCATCTAGAATTTGTTATTTATTGGCTACATATCTGAAAGTTCTTGCTCCTGGGAACATTTAATTCCTTACATTTTGCAGCTGAAATATCCTCTGAGTGTGCCAATAATACCGACTTTTTTTTTTCCTTCTTGGAAAATGACTCAACTATTTAAGAGATTGATTCTTTCCCTTCCCCCCTCCAAATCTGAGCAAGATTCTGAACAACGTAACCACTGCTTGGTACTCAGAAGCACCAAGGTCAGCCAGCTGAATGCCTGGCATTGCAAGCTTGTTTCCATGAGGCCATTCAAAAAAGGGCATGTTCCGGGCTGGGCAGTGTTCGGACGTGCTGACACCTTGTACTCACTAAGGTCCAAAATTTGAAACCCTTGCATTTCAGCTCCACTGGGGGGAATAAAACTCAAGATGAAGGTAGTGTGTTCTTAGTTTCTTCCTGAGGCTTAAGCTCTCTAGAGAAGTAGCTCTGTCTATGAGGATAGATGTGGGTCTGCTGCACTAGCCCTGATCTTAGGGGGATCCTTGTATTCGTCTTTTCACTTGTGCTAAGGGTCACGGTTCCTTAATCAACAAGAAGTCTGAACACAACCCTGGTGCACACGCCTGATTGAGAAGGGCTGAACACCAAAAGAGAAGGAATTTTCCGGGCTGTACCTTTGCTGAGGATGCGGACATAGCCATAACGATGGAGTTCTGCACGGACTTGGCAAGTTCATCACAAGGAACCCAGGAGGAAGAAGAGGGGCATGTGGAGGTAAGAAGAAGAGGGTGGGGGTCAGGTGTGCTTAGGGAAAATGTGTGGGTGGAGCTTGAAGGTTTCAGGTCTGGGAGGCTGTATGTAGGTCAGGACTGGCGGAACTAACTGTACCAGATGTCTGAAGGATACGGGTTAGTGAGTGGTCCAGGACGACAGCCCTTGCTCAGTGTCCGCGCTGTTGATTTGCAATCTTGACTGATGAGGTGGTGTTGATGTGAAATGTATAGTGAGGGAGCCTGACCAACTCGTATGTATTTCTAAGCCCAGGATTGACTAATTTCAGGTAGAAAATAACAAGGGTTGGAAGGCCAAGAGAATGTCACGTACTGGGGCCTGTTAGCAGCAGAGTGAGATTAGTCTAAGCCATGCTCGCGGTCAGATGGCTAACACCATTCTGAGGCAGGTGGAGAGAGTTCTAGTTACACACTGTATTTATCACTTGCTTTTTCTGATCCTACAGAATTTGAAAATAATACATAAACTATTACATTAAAATTACTGGTCATAACAAGAAGGTTTTGATTCTAGCTTCATTTTACCTTTAGCGAAACAAAATTAAATGTCACCCACAAGGTATTCCACCAGACAGGATGCAATGACACGGGCAAGGCTCAGGCCTGCCATTGCCAATACAGCAACAAATGAAGTGAACAGTGCCCAAGGGTCACAGCACTGGGGAAGGCAGAAGAACAACTGCCTAGAACTGCTGTTCCACCATAGAAACAACGCAAATACAAGGCTTCAGACCTGAGGTCACAGTTTCGAAGTCTGATGAGCAACAGGCCTAGAGAACCATGTGGAATATGGGAAAAGACGGTAGAGAGTAACTACGGTTCACACATTTTAAATTTATTTCTCTGTGCCCTATAGCCACTCAGAACATATTTATAAAATAAATGAACACAGAAAAGCTATAGCCATCATAGAATGGCACCATAAGTGACATATTATATTCATAAAGGAAGAACCCCTTAGAATCTCTCGGTGCTACTGCTGAGCTAATTTGCTACAAATGAAGATTCAAGAAGGCCACCCAAAGATAAACTTTGTCCATAATTACTAACCACTAGATTAGGCATCTCCTATTTAATTGTTAATATGAACAGGACACTGGGCTAAAGTACATTAGCTTCTCTCATTTAATTCCAAAGAAACATGTGGCTCAGGTATTATTAAGAGTCTTTTATATAGACAAAGATGCTGAGGGCCTGAGTACCATCACTTACCCAAGATCACAAAAGCAGGAAGCAGCAGAGTCAAGCTAATTTAAATGCAGCATGTATCTCTCCCCTGAGACTAGATAAGGAGCTGGGTAAGGCCAGATAAGTGTTCACTTCTACCTCCCTATGGGAATGCCTGGACATGAGGACCTTCTACAAAAGCCTTGCAAGACTCCTTCAGAGTCCTCTGATAACTCAGCCTCCTAAAAAGCGAGTGCCTAAGCTTTGCTAGTAGTTCTGACTCCAACACCTTTTGACAGTATTGTCAACACTCGGGAAACTGAAGGCATTATAAAGAACAGATACAATCACATAAATACAAGCCCACATTGCCCCTTAGCTGAAAACACACCCTGTTCTCTCTTGACCATTTCGAGGTATATTAACCCATTGGGACCTGCCTGGGCTGTAAGTTATGGGCTCTCAATTCACAGAGGGTCAATTTCTCACAAACTTGAAATGTGAGCCATCATGAAGATTATCCGGTCCAGTTTTTGATTTCAGACTCAAGGCTTGGGAAAACACACGATGACACATTTAAGGTAATGCAGAAAGAAAGGCACACATATAGTTTTGATAATCAGAAGAGGAAGCCATTAAATATTAGCCACACTGGAGGGCTGTGGCCCAGAACTACAGCTAACCAGGACCTGACTCTTTGCTTTGCCAATGAGGTATGTCATCCACAGTTAGCATGAGGGCTAGAGCGAAAGTCTTCTGACTTTGAGGGATGCTCGGGACCAATATGGACCAGAGTCAGAGTGGGTCTGTGAAGCCAGTAAAGAACAGAGTCTATCTAAGAGGAGGTTATGCACATAAGCTAAAGCAGGAAATGACAGTGGTCACAAGGGGTTCACCTTGCTCAAACGCAACAGAGGGTTTGAAGTCAGGCAGACGTCAGCTGGTACCACAACTGCCATCGTAACACCCTACTACTGGAGATACATGACTCCCCTTGGCTTAGACGTGTACTCCGCTAAGATAAGACAGGCACGGTATCTCTGAGAAACGCTGTTATGTGACAGCCAAAGGAAACAATGAATTAAAAACTCTTCGTATTTTGGGCAGACAACATAAAAATAACACAGATTTTCTATTATCACCATTATTTTCAACCCAATGGAGTCTTCTTGGATGTCTCCAAATATGCCTTCAAAAAGGTAGCATTTTTAGATAAAATATTTGTCAACTTATGTACCCTAAGATGACATTTTAAGTGATGCTGACCGTTGAAGACAGGACTTTGGCAAAATTCCAGGAGGGTGAAAGTATGAAGGGCTTCTTTTCTAAAGAGCATGGAGATATCTACAGAGAAGACATGTGTGCTAAAAACACCTTTGCTAGCTCCCTTTGCTCCTCTCTAGATTTTCCCCTGTTTCATAGGTCTCTTTGAACCACAATAAGAAACATGGGCACCGTGTCTGAGACCATGCACCTTTTCTGCTCATCACTTTTTTTATCCTTTTCACTTCCATCCACACATCTGCTCACCCTGGCCTTTATGTTGTTATGTCAGATAGCCTCAGTACAGAATTAGCATCAGAAACAACTATCACTAAATATATATCCACTCCCTTCCTGTCCACACGCATGTGGGAGTCGTTTCTTCCCTTTGTCAAGAACCAAAACATTGAACAGGAAAAGAGAGTTTCAGGAGGAAATAAGAGCTGTGATTCCAGGGTGTAAAGCCAGCGTTGACAGGCTTGCATGATGGCTAGGACTACTCTGGCACATATTAAAATGTTAAGGACCCCAGAAGGCACGAGGTTGCCAGGGAACCATGCAGAAGAAAGCTGATATGGAAGACACAATCATCCCAGCCGGAAGGGGCACTGGGCCATCCTCTCATTCTTGGCCTTACCCCACCCCATCCGCATTAGCCCATCTGTTAATGCTAAATGCCAAAAAGATCTAAGGAAAGGGACTGTGATTCACATGTCAACTGTTGGGCCACACTTCAAAACATCTGTCAGTATTGAGGCCAAGTAGGTGACCTCTCCCAACAAGAGAGATGCCGGGGCCAGGTAAGTAAAGGGAGACAAAGAGCAAGAAGTGCTCATGCCTGCAATCCAGCAGCCCCCCAAGAATCAGGAGGCACACACAGGGTTCCCCAGCTTCCCCTCTCCATGCTCCTTCTTATGGTGTAACTAGTTCCTACTAGAGGAAGAAATGTCTTTTAACACTAAACACAAAAGGGCATGAAATCAGACGATCTGAACATCCAAACTGCTATACATTTTGTGCTACAAGGTTGTGATTGTCACAGTTTTTCCCCTCAACAAGACAGACACAACACCCATGAAGATCTGAAAATATGGTATCAGGTGAATTCTATGATAGCTAAATGGTGTTCTGACAGTATGAGGCTTGTTCCACTGGCAGGCCTGATCCTCTTTATGTACCTGTACCCTGTCATTCCCCATGCCCAAGGCCACTGCCCAGTTTTGTAGCTCTGCTGTCCTTCTCCAGGTTACCCATTATGGCTGTTTGTAATCCAGCTTAAAGACAGTAAGGATGCTGGTGTTTTCTAGGAAAGGACTGATGATGGTGGTATAAGGACCCACTCTGCCCACAGTGAAAGTACGGAACCAGCTGGAAGAAAAAGAGGGTAGTGGGTGAGACACAAGCTCCCAAACCCTTAGTCGAATAGTCCAATGGTAGGTGAAGAAGTGTCTGAGAAGCGGACTGAGAGGTGGCTCAGGGGTTAAAACACTTGCGTTGTAAACATGAGAACTGGTATTTAAGACCCCAGCCCTGTGTAAACGTGAGTTGGGCACGGTGGTCACCTGTCGTTCAGAAGGATGAGACAGGGATCCCTAAGGCAAGCTGGCTCACTAAGACTAGCTGTATTGGAGAGTTCTGGGTTCATCTGAGAGACCCCGACTCAATGAATAAGGTGGAGGGCAACAGCAGACGACTGGGGATTCTGTACATGTGCACATCTGTGCAGGAGCGCGTGCAGGCACATGTACTCACACATTTGAATACTCACACCCACGCTCCTGTGTGCCACACACACACATACACAAAAGGGAGAAAAATAAGAAGGGTCTGAGTCAGTTACTGATGGGCAAGCTAGGGTTGGTGGGAACAGTAACCCAAAATTTCTTGAAACATGAAGGTGGTAGACTGTGAACAAGGGCTTGGATGGGAGGGATCGAGGCCATCTGGAGATGGTTGTCAGCTAGCAGCTGTCAAGCCTTGGCAGTCCCACTTGATGTGGCCTGTGTTAGTATCCAAGGTCTGGGAAGCTTCAGTCACCACCAGGAAGGCTTCTGTAGGAAAGCAGTTCATCGGGTTGTCTCTTGACTGTGGTGCGCGCCTGCAGAACTGCAGCCCTCTCTAGCCACGCACCGATCAGTCATCTAGAAGACATGGCCACACTGTGCTTTTCATTGTCTCCTCCGGCCTGCCCTGCTTTCTCAGTCTGGCTGACACTTCCCCCTCTCTCCTTTGGTGTAAAGGGAACATCTTTCTTTATTTATATGAAGCAGCTGTAAACTAGACCATACAGGTGGCCTCCTATATCCTTGGACTCTGAGTCCACAGATTCAACCAATCTTGGATCAAAACTATCTGGGGGAAAATAAATTACACCTGCACTTAACATGTAGAAACTTTTCCTTGATCTTGTTCCCTAAACAGCACAGAAATATCTGCAGGACATTTACATTGATTTAAAGTATTATGGAAGACATTCATAGGTTGTATAGAAATATACTATTTTTTATAAAGGAACTGAAACTTCTCTGTCTACAGAACATAGGGATTCCAGCA